CTTGACCAATTTTGGTTACTTTTACCGGTTGAAATCTTTGGGTGTTTTGGTATTTCAGTCAAGAAATATAAGAAGTCTGAAACTGCTTTTAAATTTGGGTTTCGTCGAAACGCACCACGACTTCACGTCTTAAAAGTTTTTCTGATCTTAACACCGTATTCGGATAGTCAGCGGCCCATTTATGATGTTTTTTGAAAAAGTGAATAGACTTTTAGGCCCCAGTGTGGTAAACCAGACTGGCTTCATTTTTGTTAGAAGTATCAGGTGTAAAATTTAAGATGATACATCAAATTTTTCTATTTTTCTTCTTGCAGCTAATTAATACTGAGCAATCCTTGGCCTCTACTTGTTTCTTCTAATATATAAAACTATTCATTAGTTTGAAATAAAAGATTCATTTTTTGGTTACCAAAAGTGCTTAGATGAATATTTATAGTCTAATATTTAGGCCGAAATAGACGGGTAAGTGAGGTTCAGCTATCGGCTGCTTAACCAACAGTTAAATTTACCACAAGAACCCTTTGGTGAAATCTGATGACCTATTGCATGAGAACTAATCACATCCGGTTTTTAGCCTCCTACTTGCAAAGGCGTACAGATAGAAACCAATTCTAATCAGAAATACAATTATACCTTTAAATACTGAAAAAGTGGTCTCTAAAAAGCCTTATTTTCACTTTCTCTGCAATTCTTCCTGTTTTTGAACAGAAAAAAAATTTATCAGAATCAGCAGCTCGCACGTCTAGATTATTCATCAAGCAAAATTATTTAACGTCTACTAGAAGTTTATTAGTAAAATGGTCTTTTATGATATAAAATTTGTCTTTTTTTTCCAAACTGCGGCTAATGCATCTCCGAATTTACAGAAAAAAATGTTTTTTTTTGGGAGCAGTAAACAGTACTTACAGTATTTGATAGTGTTGTTTAAATTTTAGAAGTTATTGACAAAACTTCAAAGAAATTTTTTTTCCTAAAATTTCAAGTGTAATGCACTATGCACTTCAAAATGAAATATCTTCATTTTTTGTGAAAACAGTAAAAAAAAAAACTTCGGTATATTTCAAATGAATTCAATTCGGCTGTATGCTCAACAAAAACGTTAACCGTGAGCTAAGTGTTTAACCAGGTACAACGATAAATTATCCCTGATTTTGGACACTATACCTCTTCAAAATTATCAGGTACGTAAAAAACTAGTATGAAAAGTCGGCTGTAGACATTTTGCCTGTTGTGCCTTTTCAAATGTAGAGCAAGATCTTAAGCATATATTCAATCTCATTTTTATTAAAACTGTGAATATATGCTGTTAAATGCTATGTAAAAAAGAAGGCTATTTTATACATCACATCTTCTTGCAAAATATATATACTTTGGACAACAAACACAGGTTCATATGACTTACGAAATTGTTCCAAGCTTTTGACATTATACACAGAATATTACAGATGTAGTACAAAAACGGCTTAAAAATAACAACAACAACGATCACAGCAACTTTTTTCTTCCAGTAATCAACGCTAAAAAAGGAGAATCTAATTTTTAATATTACTATCATCATTCAACGAAAAACAGCAAAAAGTCTATGACCGTTTCGGTTTCTACACGTGAATAAGTGAAGCAAACAAATACTTCAATGAAATGTGGACAAGGTTCTTTGCTTCGCTTACACTTTGATAAAATTTGCTAACAAAATAAATTCTTTTTTGAGTTAGCTTTGAATACTTAGAATTAGGATTATTAAAAAATAGCTGGTTTACCCGTCCTATTATTGAACATTAAATAACGACTCTGTAGAGATAATTAAATACTCCAAATTCTCCACAACTTCCTACTAAGCTTTAGTTGACACTTCTTTAAATAGGCTAATTTGCTTCAACACTAATGGCTCATGCTTAATAATTTCAGCTGATAGTCTTGTGATCTATCTTTTACGTCCTCGTACTGTGTAGATTCCTGCGTCAGTGGTGTGGCGACAAACGGTTCGTAAAATTCATCATAAAGCGGTGGCTTTACATCAAACACCGTTTTTAGACGAGTTCTAATTATAGCAATTAATATTGAAAATATCGTAGCAAACATAAGAAACGCTACAGCCGTGTACAACATATACGTATGCTTCATCGCTTCTTGTTCCGTCTGCTTTCGTTGCCGTAACTTCCCATCTTCTCCCATATAGTCATCCTAAACAGTTATCAAATTAGATTTATTCCGTACTACTGAAATACCACGTAGTAAACAAAACTAAAATACAAGAAAGCTACCACCATGCAATAGTCAAATAAAATACTGAACATCAAAAATAAAATAAATGTAGCAAAAATATTTTACCTGTAAAGAAACATTTTAAAATTTCAGTCACATTTTGGAACTGATAAATTATTGGCTTAATAATGAACAATATTCTAGAACAAAAAAAAAGTATTTGTTGCAGTAGCATAAAAAAGTGAAAATTTAAAGTACTGTAGCTCTGTCACTGAAAGCTTTTTTTTATTCAACTATCCTTTAAGTTTAAAAGTTGATTGCTTATTACCTTTAGAAAGTAAACACGTTTCTTATGACAAAAACTATTTTTCAAGGTAGACAGCAAAAAGAACTCAAAAGGCCTTTTTACGGAAAGTTTACCTTTTGAAAATAAAACTTGAAAATATTTACGAACACAATTCGACAAAAACTTTTCAAAAAAAGAAGTTTTTACTTCTGTCCGCAGTTTTTCTGCTTCTCTCATCTCTTCTTCTACTTCATTATATGCAGCTGCATAGGGTTTTTCGACATCCTTGTATAACTGGCCTTCTAGAAGACTACAATTGTTAAAAGATACCGTAGAAAAGTAAACAAGTTTTTGCCGAATTTTGGCAAAAAATAAAAATTTTAAGTTTTATTTGAACGTAACTGTAAAATCACAACATATTTTTGAAAACCATGAAGATTTGCTACTTTACAGTTGTTTACCTCTTGTTACGATCTTCAGTTATGGCTAGCTACAGATGCAAACGAACATTAACTACAAAACTTTAAACCAAATAAACACTACAGTTTGATATGCCATAAAAAAAACCCTTTTGAAAACTCACTTCTATATTTGCAAACAGTAGTTGCTTTGAAAGAAGGCGAGGTGTCGCTCCATTCTCCTTTTTCACTATACGCTGCATATATTTTGCTACTTGGGCAGCATTGATCCGGTTCGCCCGATTTCCAGTTCCCAAAGGTCGGCCTATCACGAAAAGGCCATAGCCAATCATTAGAGTAAAGGACCAAGGAAAGCCAAAATGGTTTTGACTCAGTGAAATCTTAACAACTAATAACACGTTACTTCATAAGGATGTTTTGCTACGTTAAAGAAAGATAACTGGGGCCAAACATCACTCCTCTGCTTCATGTTTGCAACTTATGATCAGGAACACCGTATAACTTGTACCGTTCAGAAATTTCTGTTCGGCTTTGGACGTAATCCACACTAAATATGAGCCGTGGCGAAGGCAAATTCTTTGAGCAACAGTCCATTCAGCTTGAACGTGGAACTGAAGTGTATAAACGATGGGCTTTGCTTAAAGTCTGGATGAAAGGCAACTTATGGTACACCGTAAGAGATCCTATGAACTTTTTTACTTTAAACGTCTATAAACCGGTCTTGTAACGTGCATAATTCAAAGAAATCTAAACTTCTCCACTTACGATTCTGTAACAAAAGCCGTTAAATTCGATAAAGCCTGGTCTGCACCACAGCTTCACTGTAATTATAGAATGAAAGCAGTAGAAAATGCAAATAAAGAGTTTCGAAGATGACGTAAAAACATACATTCATATTTGCAGAGGAAGTCATGCTCAACATCACAGTTTTCGCGATTCCAGCTACCAGCCTCATCGACAAACATACATTTCAGAACACCGAATGTTTCGGCTGTTACATTAAAACTATTCCAAGCAATGTAGTCAACAGTAGTTGTATCCATCCACTGCCATTTCTCATTCACCTGTTTTAGCCCTATCCAGTAGCTTGCCGATTTGTATTTTTCTGAATTACTGTTTGATAAAGTTCTGCTGCTATCAGCTAGTAAAGCTGAATGAAGCAGGAGCACTAGCTCAGAGTATGAAGATAATGCTAAACTGCTGTAGCAGAAAGTATTGACTCTGCCAGTTACTGAACAAGTATCCATAATCTTACGT